TGCGCACACACACACACACACAATTTATTAAAAAGTAATTCAAAAATTTAAAAGAGTTCTAAACCAGCCTGTGAAGCCTATAAAGCAAACAAATAGAAAAATGAAAGAAGGAAGGGAGGGAGGAAGGGAAGGGGGGAGGGAGGAAGGAAGGGAAGGAGGAAGAAGGAAAGCTTTCCAGGTAGCCAGAGAGAGAGAGGTTGTGGCATTGCCAGGCAAAAAAGGATACTGGAGCATGGACTAGAGCATGGAGCCCAAGAAAAATAAACGCTGACAAGTGTCCACAGCCTCAGGACAGTCGGCTTCCTCCAGAGGACAGGACAAATAGTTAAAACTAACACAGAACTCGTTTGCCCCTAACGTCTGGGCTTTAAAAAAAAAAATTCCATGGTCTCATATTGCTTGGTCTGGCCTCAAATTCAAAAATTTGCTAAACCGGGGGTGGTGGCCCATGCCTTTAATCCCAGCACCTGGGTCCCAGAGGTAGTCAGATCTCTGTGTTCCAGGCCAGCCTGGTGTACAACGTGGAGTCCAGGACAGCCAGGGCCACACAGAGAAACCCTGTCTCTAAAAATCAAAAAAGTAATAATTAATATAATAATAATTTTTAAAATTGCTAAAGATAACCTTGAATTTCTGATGCTTCCACCTGCCACCGTGCCATTTTTGGGAGTGCTGGGGAGCCAACTCAGGGCTTTGTTCATGGCAGGCAAGAACACCAGCAAACAAGACACACCCTCTGCTCTCCTGCTGCCTTTGGGGAAGACAAAATCTCACTGTGGAGCTCAGGCTGGATTTGAACGTGACCCTCGTTCAACCTCCTGAGCACTGGGATTCCAAGCATGAGCCACCATGTGTGCGCCTTGTTCAGAAAAAGAGAATAAGTCCTTTTTGCATTGATGATAGGAAATAAAGTCACGGCCTAATCCAGAAGCAGCCGCAGCCGGTCCTGTGCTGGGAAACCCTCAAGAGCATGGTTTCCTCCATGCGCCAATGGTCATCATGTCTCAATTACTATTTAGCTCATTTCTAGGTTTCGTAATGACTCATCTAACGTCTCTCACTCTAAGCCAGCGGTTTTCAAACTCCCAATGCTGAGACTTTTTATTACAGTTCCTCATGCTGTGGTGATGCCCCGACCATAAAATTATCTTCGTTGCTACTTCATAACTGTAATTTTGCTGCTGTCACGAATCATAATGTACACATCTAATATTTCTGATGATCTTTGGTGACCCAAGGCTCTAACATTTCCTGCTAATCTACCCAATCCTGTTCTTACCTCACACTAAGGCCTTTTCCACTCTGATCAAACGGTTGTTTTACTTACTGGTTGCACATAGTCCAGGCTGGCCTCAAACTCACTATGCAGTTTGAGGATAACTTTGAACTCTTGATCCTCCTGCCTCTACTTCCTCAGTGCTGGGATTAGAGGTGTGAACCATCAGGCCCTGAAACAGTGATCATTTGAAAACACATGAGATCACTTGTTATAGCCTGTTTTCCAGCCAGCGGCTCTGGTGTTACTTACAGTGATTCCCAGGTTTGTCTGATGTGAACCCCCCAATCTTGCCACTTTTCCCCGGCCCTTTGCAATGGGTCTTCCTTTATTTTTTTGGCTTTTCGAGGGTTTGTCTATGAGGCTCTGGATGTCTTGCTTTGCAGACCTCAGGCTGGCCTCAGAACTCATGAGATCCACCTGCCTCTGCTGGGATTAAAGGCGTCCACCTCCACACCTGGCTCCTTATTTATTTTTGAGACTAGGTGTCATGTTGCCTAGGCTGGCTTCATACTTGCTCTGTAGCTGAGAATGACCTTTAACTTCTGATCCTCCTGCCTCTACTTCCCAAGGCTGGGGCTATGGGTGTGTATTGCTACACTCAGTTTTATGCCTTGCTGGAAACTGAACCCCGCACTTTGTGCATGCTAGGTAAACACTGTACTGAGTTACTTCCCAGGGCCCCACAGGTCTTTCCTGCTGCTCAAACGGGTCAAGCTGCTTCGGATGGGAGCGTTCCGTCCGCTGCCACACACACGCTTCCGGTGGATCCCCTTGGAAGCAGCTTTCTCCGCATTCCTTTCTTTGGTCACACACCTCAAAAGCTGGATGTGGTAGCCTACCCTGGAATCAAAGCAAGCAGAAGGCTGAGACAAGGGGATTGCGAATGTCGAGGCCAGCTGGAGTTACACAGGGAGTTCTAGGCCAGCCTGGGCGACAGAACAAGACAGTCAAAGAAAGAAGGAACGAAAGGAGGAAGTTATGCTTGGTGGCATTCATCTGTAATTCCAGCACTTGGGAGGTTGAGGCAGAAGGATCAGTTCATCCTCAGCTACATGGCAAGTTCAAGGCCAGCCCACCACAAAAGACCCTCATCTAAAACAAAAAAACAGCGACCAGAGAAATGGCTCAGCTGATAAAGGTACTTGCCGCCAGGCCTGATGACTGATGACCTGAGTTTGACCCTCCTGCAACTGGTCCTGGCATCCATGCACAAGCCATAGCTCACGTGTGCCCACACACAAGCACACACGCTGCAAAACAAATATAAAAACAAGCAAAGAAGCAACATCTTTCAGAGGCTTTCTGTAATCTCTCAACATCAAGCAGCCCCTCTCCACCCTGCTCTCCATCCTTTCCTCATCCTGCACATATGTATGTCTGTGTGTGTGTATGTATGTATATTTCAAGCCACAACCTATAATTATTTGGTTGCTACCACTGTTGTCTGTCTCCTGAATGGAATGTGGCTCTCGTGTGGGGCAGGGAATTTGTCATTTGCTCACTGCAATAGACACAAGCCCTACATCAGTGCTTGGGACATTACAGATGTTAAATAATTATCCACCAAGTGAATCAGTGAATGAACTAATCAGGTGAAAGCCAGGTGGGGCAGCACATGCCTGCAATTCCGTAATCCCAGCATTTGGGAGGTTGAAGTGGGAGAAACAGGAGTTCAAGGCCAGCCTCAGCTTCAAAGCTGGACTGGAGAACATGAGACTGTCTGAAAAAAAAAAAAAAAAAAAAAAAAGAGTCAAGTGATTAAGGGGTCATCTCTGTGTCTGTGTTTTCCTCGGAGAAACAAGCTAGTGGCTGTTAGACCCAAGTCTCCCGGACCCCCAAGACCACCAAGGAGCTGATTCCGATGCAAACACAGCAGGGTCTTTATTACAAGTTCGAGCTCAGGCCTACACCATCACTGATGCAAATATTTGTCAAAATGGCTCTGTGGGTAAAAGCGCCCGCTGCCAAGCCTGATGATCTGAACTCAATCCCGGGTGGGACGCTCAGGGTGGGGAGAACCGACTCTTCCAAGTATCCTGCTGCACTCCACGGACACACACATATTCCAAATAAACATTTTAGCTAATGTTTCCCTGCACTGTGCTGAGGCTCACAGAGGTTGCGCGGCTGAGCCGGTCTTCCTGTCCCGTTTGGAAGCTGCCTCCTGGGAAGGCTGCACGTGGCAAAAACCTTGCTGGCTCTGCGTCCTCCGGACCAGTCCTGCTGGAGGGGCTTTCCCAGCGGGGGTCCGGTCAAGCGGCTTCCCCGTCTTCACTCATCAGATCCTCCGAACTCTCTGGCGGCGTCCCTGACCACCCGAAAGGGGGCCCCGTGGCCAGGCACCACCACGTCGGCCACGCTCAGGATCTTCTCCCGGCTGCGCTGCTGGGCCAACGGATCTTCGCTCAGGGCCTGCCAGGAGTCCTCGTCACCCAGGCGCTCGAACACATCGCCAGCCACCACCACGGTGCCCAGGCTGGTGCCCTCCACTACCACGCTCACGTCCCGTTGCCCCCCGTGGCCCGGCGTGGCCCAGACCTGCAGTCCGGAGCCCAGTACCAAGGGCTGCGTTTCACTCAGCCCGTGGGGCAGATAGAGGCCCCCGGGAAGGCAGAAGTCATGGGAGACTAGCAACGCAGCCCGGGGAAACAGCCCCAGGTTCCCGATGTGATCCGAGTGCCCGTGGGTCCCCACCACCAGAGTCACGTCCCCGGGGGCCACGCCCTGCCTAGCCAGGGCCTCCAGAAGCGCATCCCGGGCCCAGGGTCCCCCCGTGTCCACGAGGATGGGGCCCCGCGCCGCCCCCTCCAGGGCAGTCTCGGCGTCTCCGTGAGCGGGCGCGGCCACTCGGCGGCTGGGGTCCGACGCCCAGGCCCGAGGCAGGACGAGAGTCACCGAGCCATCCGCGCGCACCGCGCCACCCGGCCCCTGCGGCTCCGCGTAGCCTTGCTGCAGAACCAGCACCGAGTGGGAGCCGCTGAGCGCCAGCAGAGGGGTCTCGGCGGGCAGCGGCTCGGGGCGCACCGGGCCGCTCATGGCAGGGAGGCACCATGCCCGACCCCCGAGAGTCGGCCTCCGCGCTCCCACCGCTCTTCCCAAGTCTCAGCTCGCTGCACCCCCACTTGTGGCACGGCCCGCCACCACCACCCCTGCCGAAGATGGTACGGTCCCACCGGCCTCTCCACGCCCGCCGACCTCCCCTTCCGGAGACGGTTTGGTCCGGGTCTCCGTAGGCTTGCGGGTGGTAGGTAGGTATTCACCTGCCCACGTTTTAGGAAATTAAGCTATCGCTGTCCCCAAGTCTTAAAAAAAAAAAAAAAAAAAAAACCTCAAGTCGAGAAAACCGAGGAATTTTTGCCTTTTCCGGGCTCCCGTGCAGACTGGAGCCTGAGGCGCCAGCCACTCTGTATTATCCTAATTCCTGTGCAGGCCACACTGTGTTGCACAGTTTGAGGGTTTTTTTTTTGCTTGTGTGTTCTGATACAGGGTCTCACGTAGCCTTGAACTTGTTACATGACTGAAGACCTTGAGGTCTTGATCCTCTTGTCCTCCACCTCACAAGCGCTGGGATTATAAACGTCTATGCCGCTCTGGATTTCAAGCCCTGTGTTGCAGTTTCCACAACCGCGGCCAGCGTCCTTGGGGAGCGAAATCTACCAACGCCACTAGCAGCTAAGAGAAAGCGGACCAATGTCCCCACTAGCTGGGCATCCCCCAACAATAATATGCATGTTTGGAATGGGACCCGGCTGGTTCAGAGAAAAGGTTTAATAGCGATATAGAAAATACGGCACCTCTGAAGTACGACATAGGCCACGTGCCTACCCCCAACCTACGGGCACTGCTTCGCTCCCTTACAGTATCCTGTGCCTGCTCACAGGCTGACGGCATACCACCTCATGTTTGCCGTGTCTGCTGGCTGTTGGGAGTCCCCTTTTTGGCTGCTTTGAGACAGAGTCTCGTTTAGCTCCGTTGTCATGTGCTGCGTAGCTGGATGATGGCCCTGAATGTAGCCCTGCCTGCATAGGTCTCATGTGGCCCAACTCACATCACTGTCCACTCTGGGCAGGCATTCTACCAACTGAGTTACATCTCCAGCCCTTCTCCGGCCCCCTGAAAGGGTCTAAAATAGACCCTCCAAAAAGCAAAGCGATTTTCCCACAGCTCGTACCATCACCGATCAATGGGTGCAGGTGAAGACCAGCGAAACGTACAGAAAAGTTTCAACACTGTCACCACACACACTCAGCCAATGAAGCGGCTGCAACTGGCTCCCCTTCTCCCCACTTCTCTCACGTTGCCTCTCCCGGTCCCCAGGATCATGCCTGAGATCATACAAAAAAGACAGTTACAAGCCTTGTAACTGATGGGGAAAGGAGAGTTCGGAGTTTAGAAAACTCTCCATGACCCTTCCTTGGGGTTCATGTAAGGGTCACAGATCTTCTGGGTCGCGCTTGGGAGTGCCTGAAGTCTTGGTTATCTCTTCTTTCCCCTCCTCCTCCTCCTCTTCCTCCTCCTCTTCTTCTGCCTTCTCCTGCCCATCACTGATCTTCTCCTTTCCAGTCCAGGTTTCCTGTAGACAAGCTAGACACAATGAGAGAAAACAATGTCAGTGTTAATGCTGGGGACACGGAAGCTGGAGGAGCAAGACCCAACCTCTACGCTTACCAGTTTCAGAGGCTGGAAGCACATGACCTTCGCAGAGAAAGTTCTGTAGGGGCTGCTCCTGATGGTGGAAGTACCAGTCTCCCACAACCTCTTCAAATTCTTCCAGCATGGTCTCACACTGAAGAACAAGGATAGGATCTGCCCTGACGGCTTTGGAAGGCCTCTGCTTCTCACTCCCTATCTTCCTACTCCACTGACTGCCTTAGAGGCAGGCAGCCAGAAGGTTGCACTTGGCTTACTAGATGTGAGATTCTCTTTGTTGAGCATTTACCAGTATCTGTTACTGTCTAAAAATCTAGAATACCTACTCTGCTAGGTGCCAAATGCATGTAATTCCATTTAGGAGGCAGAGGCAGAAAGGTCATATATTCAAGCACATTGTCAACCAAGTAGTGAATTATGTGCAATCCTGACTCAAAACCTCAGTATGTCTCAAATTCTAACCCATAAAGTGGGAACTGTTAATCATACCCGTGACCCGAGAGTAAAACAAGGCAACAGGCAGAGAGTATGTGGCCCAAAATCCAGGACATAGTAGCTGCCAGTACACAGTGGTAGATATTATTACTACTACTATTATTATTTGGTTTTTCAAGACAGGGTTTCTCTGTGTAGCTTTGGCTGTCCTGGACTCGCTTTGTAGACCAGGCTAGCCTGGAACTCACAGAGATCCACCTGCCTCTGCGGGAGCTAGTGGTAGATCTCATTAAGCACCCAGTGTTACTTCTTGATGTGCTGTTGAGCCTGCTTTAATAAATGGCCCAGTTCTCACTCTCCATCTTCTCCCTGCTTGGAGATAGGCATCCCCCACACCACATCACGGGATTTAGGTCTTCTCCTGGGCAAAGTGGTACCCCATCCTACCTGCTTCTTGAGGAATGTGACCTCCACGCTGGGTTCGTCCCACAGCTCCAAAGGGATGCCCAGATCCACAGTCACCCCCTTCTGCACTAGGCCTTTCAGTGTTGCCATGGTCTGACTCTGACCCTGAGGGGTGGAAAATTTCCTGTTAGTCCAGCCCACACTCTTCTCTTCTTTCATCACCATGTCAGCTTTATCAGCTGCTGGAGACTCTGGTGTGTTCTGTGAGTCTGGCCGACTGGGTGTGGTGTGATCCCAGCACTCCCAGTGAGTTCAAGGCCAGTCTGGTCTACAAAGCAAGGCCAGGCCAGCCAAGGTTACACAGAGAAACTTAAGAGTTTAAGTTAGCCTGGGTATAACTCCATTTTGAAATAAAGAGCCATCTTGACTGGGAGCTGAACACCAGGAAACATCACAGAATATGCACTTGGCAAAAAACAAAGTTAACTCTCCTCCAGAAATATCACAGAATAAATACTTCATAGAAAATAGAGACAATCTCCCTGGCAATGATCAATGAGAATCAGTTGGAAATCGGCTGGAAAAATTCTCCCCAATGTTTCAGATATAGTTTAGAAGAATAGCATTGTGATCATATGCCTTAGGCAATTGTGATTATGTGCCTCAGAGAAGGTCACCTCGCCCCTCTAACTTTTACCTAATCCTGTAACGTCAAGGAATGTGCCCCCCTCCCCCCGCTCACAGACTTTCCCATTAAAAACTCTGCTCACTCAGAGCTCGAGGTCCCACTTCTCTACTGCTGTGTCAGTGAGACTTGGGTCCCGAGTTCAATCGCTCTCGTAATAAAGATCTCTTGCTCTTGCATCCAGTCGTCTCCTGGCAGTCTCTGAGGGTCCCTGATCCTGGCATTACAGAACCAACCGAACAAACACACATACACAGAGTCTGAAGAGTCTGGCCATCATAGAGGACACTCAGGCTTGGGGGGAGACTGGCAGATATTCCCTGAGGATCTTGGATGACAACAGGTCTCTGTTCTGAGAAACAGGGCCTGGGCTGGCGAGATAGCTCAGTCGGTGAAATGCTTGAGGACCTTAGTTCAATCCCCACATCCACAGTGAAAATAGAACAGGGCTGGAGAGGTGGCCCTGTGGTTAACAACACTGGATGCTCTTCCAGAAGACCCAACACCAAGATGGCAGTTCACACCTGCTTGTAACTCCAGCCCCAGGGGGATCTGACACCCTCACACAGACATAGATGCAGGCAAAACACCAATGCACATAAAAATAAAAAAATTTCAAAGCCTGGCATGGTGGCACACACCTTTAATGCCAGCACTCAGAGAGGCTGAGGCAGGTGGAACTCAGCCTGGTCTACAATGTGAGTTCCAGGACAGCTAGGGCTATACAGAGAAACCCTGTCTCAAAAAATTAAAAACAAACCAAAAAAAACAAGGTGGATGTATCCAGGGAACAACAGCCAAGGTTGTTCTCCGTCCCCTCTACATACTCACATACTTGAACATAAAAGGACATATGCATGGCTTTCGGGGAAGAGGGGGAAAGCAAGGCCCTTCCCAGGAGACTGACCTTGGCATATCTCAGTGAGCCCTTGCGCTCAGCGTGCACACTGTAATCCAAGATCCGCTCACATAAATTCTCCAAAGCCTCCTCCAACCTCGTCTCACTGTGGGAGGAAGGGAAATGAGACATCCTGATTCAGGCCGTTGCAGCTCCCCGGGGGCCGGCCCGAGGTGGAGAAGCCCAGACTCACGAGTGGCTGTAAGGCACGTGTCTTTTCCTCTTGCCCGTGTCCAGCACCTGCCCCAGCTCCAGCACTTCTCGAGAGCGGCCAGTTCGACTCAGCTCTTCCTGCAGCTCCATGCTCAACAGCTTACACACTGGTGGTAAGGAGACAGCCAGGGGGGTGAAGAAGACCAGTGCTCACACCAGCATCCTTCTGCCTGAGCCGACGCGGCAGAGCGTGCAAGCATACACTCTGGAGCCAGAGTGAAGAGGAGAGAATACTGACTCAGTCTTAGGAGCTGTGTGACACACTTGCTGTGTCTTTTTTCCTTTTTCTTATGTTTAATGTTTATTATATATACAGTATTCTGCCTGCATGTACACCTGAAGGCCAGAAACGAACACCAGATCTCAGTGTAGTGTGCAAACACGTTACAGATGTGGTGGCTGGGAATTGAACTCAGGACCTCTCCAAAAGCAACCAGGGCTCTTGACCTCTGAGCCATCTCTCCAGCCCCCGACTGTGTGTCTCTTACAGAGGTGTAATGAGGATTTAAGTACATCCATACATAAAAAACCCCCAAAGTCATGTCTGGCACACAGAAAACACTGTAAGTCCTTGGTGTCACTGTGATTTTATTTACTGGGCTACTTTCATCCGTACTTAAGAGTATAGAGAACATAAAGCCGCCATGATCTGTCCACGAAACACTGCCTGGATAGTTCGAGACTGACAATGATGGTTTGCTCCAGGGTTACCATCAAGAAACCTGTTTCCATGCCTGGGGGGAGGGGAGGGCGGCCTTTAATCCCAGCACTTGGGAGGCAGAGGCAGACGGATCTCTGTGAGTCTGAGGCCAGCCTAGTCTACAGAGTGAGTTCCAGGACAGCCAGGGCCACACATAGAAACCCTGTCTCGAAAAATCAAAAGGAAAAAAAAAATTGCCAAGAGCAGAGCAGGGACACAGGTGCAAAAGGAAGTGAGAGATTAAAATCAAGCTAAGAGTTAACAATGATAATAAAGTGCAGTTGGGTGTAAGGTGAAGTGATACTAAAATCCAACATAACTCAAACACCAGGTCAATGCAAATGACAAAAAGTTTCTGTAATGAAGCCAACACTGATGGACCAGGCCGCAGAAAAGACTTGAGAGCTGAACTGTGGCCCTAAAGAGATGGTACACAGCACATTTAGAGGACGAAACCAGAGAGCAAGGGGGAGCAGGGTGGGCTGTGGTACTGTCCAATCACATTTTGACATAAGGGGTTGAGCATGGGAGTTTCCATCAATCAGGATAGGAGTAGGTTCCTGGGCCTGGGAACATGAACTTAGTTTGATCCTGCCAGCAAGCCGGAGAAGTTGTCTCCCACCCCATGTTCCCAAAGACAGGGTTTCTCTGGGTAGCCTTGGCTGTCCTGGGCTCACCTCGAACTTAGAGATCCACCTGCCTCTGTCTGCCTCCCAGAGTGCTGCTGGGATTACAGGCCCTTCGAGAAGCTGTCCTTGGGACGCCACAGACAACAGTCTTCTTACAAGTTGTCCCAGAGGTGTCTGGACTCAGACAACTGTTTCCTTACAACAGAAGCTGTCCAGCTATTGGAAGTCCCCAGCTTTTCTAAGGGACCTTGAATTTCGTTTCTCCCTGTGATTAAATGGAGTCTGAGAACGAGATGTTAGTATTTTGCTTGTTCCCAACAAAAGAATCCAATGAAAAAAAAGTTAATGTCAGGAAGGCAACAACCCGGGGAGCCCCAGGGCTTTCGGTGACATTCCCCGCTCCCGGTTGGGGGCCCAGTTACTAACGCAGCCCTAAGCAGACGACGCTGCTTGCTGTAAAGTCCCTACAGTGCACCCCATCTGCAAAGCCTCAGACGAACGGCGACTTCTAAGGGGTGTGGTGTCTCCGTGTTGTGTTTATGAGCTTCGGCTGCTGACTTACTCACCTGTAAACCCCTGAAGGGGGTCACCAGGCCTGTAATTTGAGAGCGTCTCTGCCAGGGCGGAGCACAGGATGTCAGAAGGTGTGACCCTTACACCCCACCCATGCAGGCTGTCCAAATTTAGGTCTGGAGGTTAACAAGGCGGGAAACAGCACTGAGGAAGATGCTCTGAAGAGTCAGCGTTACAGGGTCTTGAACTACAATTCCCACAATCCATTAGGGGCCAAATCCGCAAGAAGAACCTGGCTCCTTCTGGATGCCGCCTGGGAAATGTAGTGCCATGACTCCCTCCCTTGTTCCCATTCAAGGGTTACCAAGCTCCAAAAGAACCTCTTTCAGGATGGTCGAGTGACCCATCTGGCGTAGTCCATTTGGTCCAGCCTAGAGTTAGAGAGGCAGGAGGTGGGTCAGGGAGATGCCCATAGGAACCGCTCCATTTCTGTACCTTCGCATTTGCTGGGCAAACGTTCCGTGTCATCGTCCTCCTCTTTCGTCGTCCCAGCCCGAGCACCGTACGCTGCCAGGAGGAAAAGCAGTATTTCCAGCCGCACGGACGCCATGGCAAAGCACAGTCCACACACCAGCGCAACCGCCGTTTGCCTCCGCACCAACTTCGGGAGGACAGCGGGCCCTTTAAATTCAGGCGCAGGCGGCGGCAGGCTTTTAAAGGGCGGGGGGAAGCCCGCCCGGAACGGTTAGCGCATGCTCAGAGCGAGCCCGGGAGTGGGTGGGGCGTCAGGCTCCGGGCTTCCCCGCCCCGGTTTTGTGGCGCGTCCTGACGGTCCTGGCAGCTGAGTAGTGAGGACACAAATTGAAGTAACTGGAAGAGAATAATGTTATCTCTGCGCGCCCGCGTACAGTGTAATTTTTGTCTGATTTTGGACTGTGGCTCGGCGCGGTTGTCTCTGACGTGGAGAAGAGCACTGAAAAGCTCCTGGCTTCTGCCAGGACTACTCCTACCAGGGGGCGGGGCCAAGATGGCGCCGAGCGCCGGGTGAGCGGCGCTGTGGCAGCGGTGAGAGGCGTTTGCTGCTCCCGGCGCCTGGCCGGCGGGGGACGCTCTGAGGTGTACCCGGGAGGAGAGCCTTTGGAGGGGCCCATGTGAGGACTGGGGAGAGGGCGGTTGGTGGTGTGTCAGTGCTCGTGGGGACCCTGTGCGTTTTCTCACTGGAAGGATGGTGCTGGGGAGATGTAGTGGATTGTGCACCTTCTGTAGCGCTGCCTGGGGAATCTTCGGATCGCTTCTCCGCTGAGGAAAAGGATGCACAGATCTAGCTCAAGTTATCGGTCCTCTGAGAAGTCTTCCTGTCGCCCCCACTGGTCTGAGAAGCTCCCGAGGCTGTGAGAGTGTTTTATGAACACTTAGTGGCAGAGGGTACCGCGGGGGACTGGGACCCCGCTGCTCCTTGTATGCCAGGCGCCAGGCACAGAGTATGTACTGAAGAATTCTATTTCCTGTAGACAAGATTTAACAAACGTCTGACAAGACTAGGGGTGGCTTGAAAAGAACCGGTACCCTTGGGCCTCTTTTTCCCCATCTCCTTAGCACTCTGAACACACTTGAGGTTGATCTTCCTCATCCCTGGTGTCAGGCAGGCTCCTTTCCTTTTGACCACAGAGTAAACTCCAAGCTTGAGTCTGTGTCTTTTTCATTTTGGTAATTGCTATTCCAAGTATTTATTGAACACTTACACCTTTAAGATGCATTTATTTTAACAATGCCTCAGGTATCAGTCTAGGCACCAGATAGGTCAGTGAACATAACAGACATATTCCTGTCCACTGGTGGGGTAGGGATGATAAACAAAAAATGATAGCCAGGCTCCATGGTTCATAGCCGTAAAAGGCAGGAGGAGCTCAAATTCACGGCTACAGAGGGAGCTGCAGACAAGCTTCAGCAACTTACTGAGACCCAGGGGTAGAAGGGTTGCTTAACATGTGGAAGGCCCTGGATTTAATATGGAGTAATTTTATGTATGTACATATATACACTTGGGAGGCGGAGGCCAAAGAACTGGGAGTTAAGACCAGTGTTGTCTCCATAGTGAATTTGAGGCCAGTCGGGGCTACGGGCGACCCTGTCCCTAAAGAAAGGTAGGTGGGGTCAGCTAGTCAGCCAAACACATTTAGGAAGAACACAACAAAAGCGATAAAACTGCCAAGTGTGGTGGCCCACACCTTTAATCTTAGCACTCAGAGAGGCAGAGGCAGGCAGATTGTGAGTTAGAGGCAAGCCTGGTCTACAAAGCGAGTCCAGGAGAGCCAAGGCTACACAGAGAAGCCCTGACGAAAAAAAGAAAAGAATGTGATAAAACCAAGTGTGTGTCTGTCAGATTTAAAGGACAGCAAAGAGAATGATGTGACAGGATAAAGTGGGAGAAGGAATCAGAGATAATGATGAGAGAAGTGAAAACAAAGTGAAAAGGAAAAAACACTTTAGAGAAGAACTTAACTGCATAGCCCAGGCTGGCCTCAAACTTGCTGTCTCCCTACTTCAGCCTCCACAGTGTTGGGATTACAAGTGGATACCATGTAGGAGCTCACTCTGAAACTCACTCTTGAGTCTGCTAGGAAACTCAAGGCAGTCCACTGAAATGAGAAGTCTTAACCCCATGCCTGGATAGGAGATAGATTTTAAAGGGAGGGCCTTGGAAGGGATTTGGTTTGGTTTGCTTGTTTATTTGGTTTCTTTGTTTATTTCAAGACAGGAATTCTCTGTGTAACAACCCTGGCTATCCTGGAACTCACTTTGTAGACCAGGCTGGCCTCACAGAGATCCACCTGCCTCTGCCTCCCAAGTGCTGGGATTAAAGGTTTTACACCACCATGTCTAGCCTTGGAAGGGTTTTTATGGCAAAGAACCATTACAGCAAAGAAGTAGTAATCTAGTTTATATATTTTTTTCCTAGCTTATATTTTGACAGCAACACTTTGGTTTTAAGGAGTAAATGCAGGAAAGCTAAGAAGTAAACAGCAATGCCTTTTCCAGGGACTTAGAGTTCAGCAGGTGATAGGTGATGGTCACCTAGGCCAAAAAGGGTCTGGGTAGGCTGCCTGGCAGGTTTTGAAACAGTGCTGGAAGTCAAACCCAGGCCCTTGTGCATGCTAAGTACTCTACCACTGAGCCACATCCTGCAGCCTTTACCTGGTGGATTTGGCTCAGGGTCTAGATGGGAATGAGTTGTGTTGGATGTGGTGGCACACGCCTGTAGCCCCAGCACTTAGGAGGGAGCAGTACCAGGAGTTCAGGGTCATCCTCAGCTACATGTGGAGTAAGAGACTTGCCTAGGCTACCAGAAGCCCTATTTAAAAAACAATCAACAACAACAAAAACCCAGAACTGAGCATGGTACAGTTCTTTAATTCCAGCATCCAGGAGGCAGAGGCATTCAGATCTCTGAGTTTGATCTCTGAGTCTGATCTACAGAGCAAGTTCCAGGTCAGCTAGAGCTGCACAGAGAAACCCTGCCTCTGGTGGGCATAGGGGACAAATTGGTCTGGAGATGAACCTCAGTTGTTCAGAGTATTTGCCTAGCACACACAAAGTCCTGAGTCTCATCCCCAGCACCACAAAATTGGATGTGTTGACGCATTTCTATGATCCCAGCATTAGGAAGGTAGAGGCAAAAGGACCCAGAGTCAGGGTTTAAGGTTCTGGCTACAGAGTTTAAGGCTGGACTACGGAAATCCTGTCCCCCAAAGTAAGACAAAACAAACAAAAATGTCCCTGGGCATGTTAATTCATGCCTATAATCCTAGTGTTTGAAAAGCAGAAACAGGAGGCTGGAATTACAGTGTTTGGGCTACATAGTGCTCCCCTGTGTCAAAAAAAGAAAAAAAAGGACAAACCGAGTTGTTGGATTCCTTTGCTTTGCTTTGAAGATGAGCTGAAGTTGAAGCAGGCAAGGAGGGAACTCAGATTTAGGCTCTGAATTGTTTTTCTTTTTATCCTGCCTCATCCCGTTTACCAGGCTCTCCATCTCCACCCTGAGTGGCATCCTTCCAGAGACAGGAGTTGACATTCCAGCATGGCCGAGGAGAAGAAGCTGAAACTCAGCAATACCGTGTTGCCCTCTGAGTCCATGAAGGTGGTGGCAGAATCCATGGGCATTGCCCAGATTCAGGAGGAGACTTGCCAGCTCCTGACCGATGAGGTCAGCTACCGCATCAAGGAGATTGCCCAGGTAACCAACCCTTGTGCCCAGCTTTGCTTTGTGTTAAAGATCCAACCTACTCTGCAACTGAGGATAACCCTGAGGTTCTAATCCTCCGCCTCCATGGCCTTGACATGATGGTGGGGACTGAACTCAGGTTGCCTGTGCACGCAAGGCAAGGTACTCACTGAGCTATATTCCTCAGGGTCTCTCCTCAGCCCAGGGTGGTGCACGTCTTTAATTCCCTACTCACAGGCAGAGGCCTGGATCTCTTGATCAGGAAGCCTGATCTACATAGTAAGCTCCAGGACAGCCAGAGCTACACTTTGAAATCCTGTCTCAGGAGGAAAAACAAAAACAAAACAACTCTTTCCTTCCTCCTCTAGGATGCTTTGAAGTTCATGCACATGGGGAAACGACAGAAGCTCACTACCAGTGACATTGACTATGCATTGAAGTTAAAGAATGTGGAGGTGACTTGGAGGGACTCAAAGGGCTTAAGAGGCTTGAGAGTGGGGAGACAACACGCCTGTAGCCGTGTCTCCCTCGAGCTATTCCTCATGTCTTTCTCTGTCTCTCTCCTGCTATAGCCACTGTATGGCTTCCATGCTCAGGAATTCATTCCCTTCCGTTTTGCCTCTGGTGGGGGCCGGGAGCTGTACTTCTATGAGGAGAAGGAAGTGGACCTGAGTGACATCATCAACACCCCTTTGCCTCGGGTGCCCCTGGATGTCTGCCTCAAAGGTTGAGGGAGGGTGGAGCTGGGGTGCAGGGAGGAGGGCAAGGTGCATCCAGTGTGAGATCCCTGGGGAATGGAACACCTCCCCTTCCCTCCGACTGGGTGACTCCCCAGTGTGCGTGCCCAGCCACCCAGCTTGCCGTCTTCCTTTCAGCTCATTGGCTGAGCATTGAAGGCTGCCAGCCAGCTATACCAGAGAATCCACCCCCAGGTGAGTTTGTCCCTGCCCAGATTCCCCTTACTGCCCTTGTTCTCCTCCCTGTGTCTGGTCCCATAGGGCTTCTTCTACCTTCTCAGTGCTCCTACTATGACCGCTTTTCCTCCAGCTTCCAAAGAGCAGCAGAAGGCTGAGGCCACAGAACCCCTGAAGTCAGCAAAGCCAGGCCAAGAAGAAGATGGACCCCTGAAAGGCAAAGGTCAGGGGGCAGCTGCAGCTGATGGCAAAGGTCAGTATCCAGGCCAGGTTTCTTCCTAATCTCATCCCAAAGCCAGATGGTCCTCACTGAATGGGTGACGTCAGGGACAAAGGGACCCCAGAAAGGCCCAGAAGCCTATAGAGGGGCCACATGTTGTAGTGAGGGGTTTGTCTTATACAGCGGCCTCTTCTAGAGCCTTCTGGTTTTGGTACGTGTGTGTGTGTGTGTGTGTGTGTGTGTGTGTGTGTGTGTGTGTGTGTACCAAGTGTACCAAACATACATATGAGTATGTACGTTCATGTGGGAAGGCCAGAAGATCCTCACAGCCATCAACTGTCATGCGCTGTCTGCTTTGTTTTTTGAGACAAGTCTCAATGGCCTGGAAATCTTCGGTTAGGCTATCTGGCCAGCCAGCAAGCCCCAGGGATCTACCTGCCTCTGCCTCCCCAGCCCTGGGATTACCACCATGCCCACCTCACCTTTTTGTTTTTTAAATACAGGTTCTGTGCAGTGAATTCAGGTCCTTGTGGTTATAGGGTATAAGGCAAGCACTTGACTGACTGAGCTATCCCCCCAGCCTGAATTTTCTTTTTCAAACCTGTCTCCTCATTCAACACAGGAAAAGAAAAGAAAGCCCCCCCTTTGCTGGAGGGGGCCCCTTGCCGCCTGAAGGCCCGCAGCATCCATGAGCTGTCTGTGGAACAGCAGCTGTACTACAAGGAGATCACAGAAGCCTGTGTGGGATCCTGCGAGGCCAAGAGAGCAGTAAGCCTGTCCTTCCGGCCTGCCTGCACAGGGAGAACCCTGGAGCGGTGGTGGTTTCCCAGTCAATGGGGCACCTGACTCCTTGCCCTCCCACAGGAAGCTCTGCAGAGCATCGCCACAGACCCAGGGCTCTATCAGATGCTGCCGCGGTTCAGTACCTTCATCTCGGAGGGGGTGAGAGAACTGGGAAAGGCCAGGCCACGGCTGAGGCTCCGAGGGAGGGTGAGGCAAGGAACATCTGAGGGGTCTCTGCACCTTATCAATCCCCCCCCCAGGTCCGAGTGAATGTGGTTCAGAATAACCTGGCCTTGCTCATCTACCTGATGCGCATGGTGAAGGCCCTGATGGACAACCCCACGCTGTACCTAGAGAAATATGTGAGTGGTGTGGCCTACCTCTTTCCAGGGTCAGGGCCCCTCTGCCAGCTGCAGCACAGGAGGTCAGGGCAGTCAGAACTGGCTGACAGAGCCTGGTCTCCCACAGGTGCATGAGCTGATCCCAGCAGTGATGACCTGCATCGTGAGCAGGCAGCTGTGTCTGCGGCCAGATGTGGACAATCACTGGGCACTCCGGGACTTTGCTGCCCGTCTAGTGGCCCAGATCTGTAAGCATTTCAGCACAACCACTAACAACATCCAGTCCCGAATCACCAAGACCTTTACCAAGGTGAGTGCCAAGCATGTATCAGATGACGCAGATCACCCCTCCAAGGCCATCCCCAGGAGAGAGAGCATCTACCCACCTGGCAATGAAAACTAGACCATAGGGCAGATACTAGAGCCAGGGAGATTGGGTCCAAAGGACTTGAACCCCTATGCCTTGATCCTTTATAAATGTTTATAGATAATTGTCAGTCCGTAGCAATTAGCTCTTGTTTTCTTTTTTTGTTTGTTTTTGGTTTTTTTTTTTTTGAGACAGGGTTTCTTTGTGTAGCATTGCTTGTCCTGGACTCACTTTGTAGAGTAGGCTGACCTCAAACTGAGAGATCCGCCTGCCTCTGTCTTTGAGTTCTGAGTGCTGTGAGGTGCGTGCCACCATCGCGCAGCAGTTTTTTTGTTTTTTTTTTTGTTTTTTTTTTTTTTTTTTCCCTCATCCGGGCTTTAAACTTGCTGTGTAAGTGAAGGTGGCTTTGAACCCCTAATCCTCCTGTCTCTGCCTCTGGTGTGCCAGGACTACCATCATGTACCACCAGGCCTGGCTCAGCAGTTAAAGCCTTTCCAGACCTTTTCATCTGTGTCTGTCTTCTCTCTCTGCAGAGCTGGGTGGATGAGAAGACCCCGTGGACAACTCGATATGGCTCCATCGCAGGCCTGGCAGAGCTGGGACATGACGTTAGTCCCCTGGGGGAGAGTGGGCGAGGGGCAGCCCCATGCAATGGGAGACTTCTGCTGACCTGGCCTGAGCTTTCTCCCCTTCCTTCCTGCCAGGTGATTAAGACGCTAATTCTGCCCAGGCTGCAACAGGAAGGGGAACGGATCCGCAGTGTCTTGGATGGACCCGTGCTGAGCAACATTGACCGTATTGGGGCAGACCACGTGCAGAGCCTTCTCCTGGTGACGAAAGAACCCCCACCATGCTCTTCCCTTCTTCCTACCACCCCCAGTTCCCACAAACACAGCTACAGTGTTTAGCAAGCACGAGGCACATCTTACTCTTACCCTTCAGAGGCCAGCACTGTTGTGCACGTGGAAAGCTAGGCACAAACAGAAACAGCCTTGATAGTCACTTCTGGACTGCACTGCCCTCATCCTGCCCGTCCCACCCTGCAGCTCTTTCTGCACGAGCACACAAGCACCCCATGTCTTCAGTAGACACAGCAAACCTGCTCACACCAGCGGATCCTTACGGAAGGAAAGGGTCTTTATGGTTTTGTTGACTTACAGTGGGATCTTGCTACGTAACCGTGGCTAGCCTGGAACATGAGAGGTAGACCACACTGGCCTTATGGCAGTCGTGCTACCTGTCTGGGATGTCGAGATTACAGGGATGCACTGCCACACCCACTGAAATCATTCCTTTTTATTTTTAAAGGGTTTTCCCCCCTTGGTATGTTTATGAATGCACACTGTGTGCATAGGCACCCACAGAAGCCAGAGAAAGGTCACAAATTGGGAACTGGAGTTCCAGGCGGCTGGGAACAACCAACCTCTGGAAGAGCCTAAACATGAGCTACCTCTCCAGCCCCCATTTATTTATCTATTTATTTATTTATTTCATGCTGCTGGGAATTGCACCTAGAACCACATGCATGTTTGCAAAGCACTCTACCACTGAGCTATACTCTTGACCCCCCCCCCCTTTTTTTTTTATTCTTTTGAGACATGCAGTCTGTCTGGGCTAGCCTAGATTTGAATGACCCTCCTGCTTCAGCCTGAGTGCTAGGACTACAGGCACAACCTGCCACACCCAGCTCAAATACACTCCCTATGGAAGAACAGGGTTTCTCTGTAGAACAGCCCTGGCTGTCCTGGGCTGGCTTTATACCCCAGGCTGGCCTTGAACTCACAGCAATCCACCTGCCTCTGACTCCCAGAGTGCTGGGATTACAGATGTGCGGTGCTGTGCCTGGCTGAACCCAGCTCTTCATTGTGGCTTCTAATACTAGGAGTGGATAAGCTCCCCTCTCACCTTCGCCAGAATACCAGCCCTCACTTTGTCTTCTCTGCAGAAACACTGTGCCCCAGTACTGGCAAAGCTGCGCCCTCCACCTGACAATCAGGATGCCTACCGGGGAGAATTTGGGTCCCTTGGGCCCCTTCTCTGCTCGCATGTGGTGAAGGCCAGGGCCCAGGCTGCTCTACAGGCTCAGCAGGTCAACAGGACCACGCTCACCATCACACAGGTCAGCTGAGGGAGGAGGCTGACAGGAAATATACAAGGATCCAGGTTTGGGATAGGACTTATCATAGTCAACAGTCTCAGGGAGCCTGACCCCACTACCACCCCTAATGAAAAGCTACTAAGAGCACAAGCAACTCAGGTCTACCTCCATGTTGACATTTCTTCTCTCTCCACAGCCTCGGCCCACACTGACCCTCTCACAGGCTCCTCAGCCAGGCCCTCGTACCCCTGGCTTATTGAAGGTCCCTGGCTCCATCGCCTTGCCTGTCCAGACACTGGTGTCTGCACGAGCTGCTGCCCCTCCTCAGCCTTCTCCTCCTCCAACCAAGTTTATTGTGATGTCCTCATCTTCCAGTGCCTCAACAACCCAGCAGGTATGTAGAGCCAGGGTGAGGGAAGCCTCCAAGTGGAGGCCTAATCCCTCCAGGCCCAGACTCAGAAGGGAGAAGGGCTGCTTGTCAGGATCTTGGAGACAGCAGTCTCCTGGAACTTGACCACTCACTGGGGACCGAAAGGGAAGGTGGGAGTAGAAGTTTTGGTCAACAGCAGGCACTTGAAAGATGATTCTGGGGAAAGCAAGGACAATCTGACCCCAGGCCTTCCTTTCTCCCCCAGGTCCTGTCCCTTAGCACCTCAGCTCCTGGCTCAGGCTCTACCACTACCTCTCCTGTCACCACCACGGTTCCCAGCGTGCAACCCATCGTAAAGCTGGTCTCCACTGCCACCACTGCACCCCCAAGCACAGCCCCTGCTGGTCCTGGCAGTGTTCAGAAATACATTGTGGTCTCCCTTCCCCCAACAGGGGATGGCAAAAGCGGCCCCCCCTCTCATCCTTCTCCAGTCCCTCCTCCATCTTCTTCACCATCCCCACTCGGGGGCAGTGCCCTCTGTGGGGGGAAGCAGGAAGCTGGGGACAGCCCTCCGCCAGCTCCAGGGACTCCAAAGGCTAATGGCTCCCAGCCTACTGGACCTGGCTCCCCTCAGCCTGCTCTGTGATAATGTCATGTTCTGCAGATTCCTACACGCACAGACAACGCGTGAGGGAGGAGGGAGTAAGCTGTTTCCTCTAGTGACTTTTCTTTTTAGATACTGTACAGTAAGTTCCTCAGAATAAAAGTTGGATTTGTAAGTTCGTGAGCCTCCCTGAGTCACATAACAGCAGAAGGGGTGAGACCATGGAACCTTCCTGGTCTTGGGACTCTTCCTGTCCAGATCCAAAGTCACGAAAAAGAAAATGTCTTCTTCCCGTTCATCTGTGCTGAGATTGCTGTTCATATCCTTGTTTGGGGAGCTTCAAATCCGAATTACGTAGGCATTGCTGTGGCTCAGATGTCGTACCCACTTGTGAGGGTTGGCACTACCACAAGTGCTAAAGGACAGTCTGAGGAACCGAACCTGGAGGCCAGAGCATGTGTGCCGAGGGAGTTCAAAGGAGAGGCTGGCAGGACCCAGGCCCAAGGGCAGCGCCGAAGGGGAGGGCCCATGGCTGGGAGGCCCCTGCAAGCCAGGGACATCCATCTGTAAGTAGAAGATGTCAGGGCAGATGGGAGGCTGGACAGCCACCCGCCCAGGGAGACTGGGCGGCAGCCAGCAGCACTAACAGTGCGTACCTGGAAAAGGCCTGAGAGCTGAGAGCCTCCTTGTACCCGGGGCAGGTCCCAGTGGAGGGCTCCTTCTCCCAGCTCTGCCTTCTGATCTGGGCTGCTCAGTTCCTGGGACAGGCTAGGGTTGGACAGGGAAGATGCTCAACTAAGAGGCTGCTTCCTTGGGAGAACGGAGGCCACACCCAGGAGTCTTCCCAGGGAGCATGCTGACCTGACTGCCCCACGAGGTAGGGGGAGATGCAGGTGAACATTGAGCGCTTGGCTGAAAGGAAGAAAGGCAGAGTCAGCCCAAGATGGCAGGGTCTCCCCCTGTACCTTTTTGTTTGCACTGTTCTTAAGACAGTCTTAAGCAACTGAGGATGGCCTGAAACTCATGTTTCTTTCCTCTGGTGCTAGGATTGCAGGAATGCACCACTACACTGTTTATGTGGTGCTGAGGATCAAACCCTAGGCTATGTGCATGCTAAGCAAGCATTCCCCACACGGATCTACAGCCCCAGCCTCTGCGCTGTTCTTCCTTAATAATACCTCACAGGAGTACAGCACAGATGCCTTCTCATCTCTACCCCAAATGCCACAACCTCTGACTCAACTGGAATTTAAAGTGAGTGGAAGGAAACACTGGTTTAGAGATGGGGGTCTCACTGTGAAGACCAGACTGGCTTCAAACTGGTGAATCTCCTGTTTTTCCAGCCTCCCAACTGCTGTCCACACTACACAACAAAGCTTTAGTGGACCAATCAGGAGGGCAAATTAGCAGGTCCTTGGGCCCTGTTCTCTGCCCTATACAGTTGAATTGTATAGGCTTGACTAACCCGACTCTTTTTTGTGTGCTGAGACAGGGCACTACGTAGCCTAACGAGGCCTCAAACTCCCCATGCATTTGAGGTTGGCTTTCGACTCCTGATCATTCTCTGTCTCCCGAGGGCTGGGATTATAGGTGTGTGCCACCATGCCCAATTCGACCGGCTCCAACTCTTACCTCTTTGGGGGCAGGTCACATCGTAATTTCAGGTAAACCTGGAGTCTGGAAAAGGCGGCATACAATCACTTACCTCATATCCTACTGGCGCCCCATCACTGCTTTCCAGGGGCCTCCAAGGAAGGCTGCGTAAGTTGTACCCCAAGAGGGAAAAGGACTGATCTTCATCCCAACAACACTAGCCAATACTTTTCCCAATCTGCACCCTATTTTCTCTGCCACTACCCTTCCGTACTAAGCCCTGGGAACATGTGAGCCTCAGTATGGCTCAGAATTGTTCTAAAACACAGGAATCAGTCTCACCTGCCTGAGCCTCGGTCCCACTGTATAGAGGGAAAGAGCCGAAAGGGGAGTGGTGAGGGGAGGTCATCAGAAAGTTGGTACCTCATCACAGTCAGCTGCAGCCAGAGAAGAGGAGGTCAGCTTGGTCTTGCACAGGTACCGCCTCCCTCCCCTTGGTGAGTGGAATACACCAGGGCCACCCTAACCCTGACCTCGCCCTGTGGTGGCTGCAGGCGGAGGATGCGATGAGACTCAAACTCATCTAGATTGACAGAGCTGTGGAACGACACCTCATCAACTCGAACTCCTGGCCCGTAACCTGCAAGGCGAAGGAGATGTCTCTCCTGACCCATGTCCGAGCAGGGAGAGACAGTTCCACAACAGTTTTTGGAGAAAAAAAAAAAAAAAAAAAAAAAAACTCGTGTCCTCCTTACCTCTCAGTTCCGACTTTCCCACACAGAATTCTTCTGTCAAGCCAATGCACATCTCTGTGGGAGGAAAGAACAGGAGAAAAGGGCAGCAGATAACACATCCAGGGGAAGCCTGGACCACACCTAACCAGAGCCTCACCAGAACCGCTGGGAAGGAAGCTCTTGAGCCGGATCTCTCCTTGGACATCCACCTTCAACAATGAGCCCTGGGGGACGGGGGGAGTAGGAGGTTAACATTCAACCTTCTCCAAGTAACATTTTCCTTCCGCACCAGGGTGAGAGCCCAGACTTACGTTAGACGCAATCAGCACAGACAGCCTCTCCACAACATCTAAAAACACTTCATTCTTCTGGCTCTAGGAGAGAGAGGGTTTGAGTTGTGGAGGCTGAAAACCTGTTTTAAAATAAAATGTTGGGCACAGTAATATGTCTGTAATCTCAGCGCTTGGGAAGCTGAGGCAGGAGGACTGCCATGAGTTCAAGGCCAGCCTGGGTTACAACGGGAGAGCCTTCCTCTGATGAGACTCTGCCTCAGGAAACAAAAGAGCAGGGACTGCAGAGATGGCTCAGTTAATAAAGGGCTTGCCGCCATGCAAACCCAACGATCTGCAAATCCCTGTGAAAAAGCCAGAGGTGGGGAGGCGGCCTCATCAGGGAAATGAAGACAAGCAGATCCCCGAAGCCAGTCCAGCCTAGTCGGCGAGCTCCAGGCTGTTTCAAAGAAGCTGGACAGCATTCCTGAGGATGACTTCAAAGGCCTGGTCCTTTGGCCTCCACACAAAAGCATGCACTGTGCACACACGCAGCAGAAGCAACAGGGTAGTTGAAATAGAGCCCTGGAGTGGGAATCCAGGGCTAAAGGAAGGAATGCCATGTAAAAGGGAGTGAAAAGAGAAGCCAAGTTCTCAGACCCTGGGGTCCTAGGATTAGGAAAATCCAGTCTGGCCTCACCAGTCCCTTCCTTACCTGGTCAGAACGGCTGGACAAGACCGGGCGACTGGCTGCACTGCTTGGGGCCACTCTGCTCTGCTGTGTCTCCGCCCCAAACTGTAAAGCACCCAAGACAACCAATTCTCAGTTCTGATGCTCTTGCCAATCCTCCCGAACCTCCTCTTTTCCTGCAACTGACCAGTCCCACGCTGCTGAGGTCAAAAAGGCTGAAGGGCTTGCTGACCACGGCTTCAGTTTGGATGAAGTTCCTCAGCATTTCTGTGGATGTAGTCTGCACATAGCCATAATCCTAACGGACAGAAAGAAATGCGGGGGAACTTAACCTCCCAAACTCAAAACTCCATGGCAGAGGAAAGGGCAACCCTTCAGAGGAGCACAGAACAAGAGAGGGTCATCCTTGTGGCTGGGGAGATGATTCATTGAGTAAAAGGCTCTCCAGACAAGTGTGGGAACCTCAACTCAATCCCCAAAATGCAAGTTAAAAAAAAAAAAAAAAAGCTGGACATGACAACAAGCACCGCAATTGCAGTGTTCCCATTCAGAAATGGGACAGGAGAATCCCAGGAAGCTGGCTGGCTGGCCAGCATTGAAGAACAAAGGCACCTTGCCTTTTCCTTCTGTTCTGTTGTTTTTCAAGTCAGGATTTCTCTGTGTAGCTCTGGCTGTCCTAGAACTCAATCTGTAGCTCAGGCTGGCCTTGAACCCAGAGATTCACCTGCCTCTGCCTCCTGAGTGTGCTGCTATGCCTGGCTTCTTTTTTGAGACAAGGTCTCACTATGTAACCCTGGCTGGCCTCAAATTTATTCTGTAGACCAGGACTGCCTCGAAATCAAAGTGATCCAACTGTCTCTGGGAGGTGGTATCAAAGGCGTGCACCACATGACAGCCAACGTCACCAAGGTAAGGTCTGACACCCGATACTGTACAACGGGGAGAGCGAGATCCCGGGAGATGGCTCAGCCGGTAAAGGTGCGGGCAATGTGTGGGCAAACATACACAAAAAATTATTTCTTTAAAAAGGGAAAGGGCTTTACCAGCACTTCATCCAGAAGTTCGTAGACGAGAGCCACGTTGCGTGAGATGGTCCCCTCGCTGAGCGAGCCACAGTAGTCGCCCAGCAGCGTGGCTAGCCTAAGGAGGAAATACGGTGCGGTGTGTGGGTGCGCCTCTCAGGCCTCCTTCCTAGGTGCCTGGCCAGCCCCACTCACCGGGAAAGCAGCTCCAGGAGACTGAAAGGAGAGACGTTTTCTGAGGTGGTGGCCACCAAATAGAGACCGCTGTGTCTTATGTGAATGAAATGACGGTCATCGTGATACTGGGGCAGCGGTGGGGAGAGAGGAGTTAATCAAAGACCACAGCTGTGGTAACGTAGCCCAAGAGATGGCACCCTGGGGTCTTTCCTAGTGATAGTATAAAGCGTGGCTTTGGCCGATCCCTGAGACCTCTCTAAGGTCTGGCCTCGTGAAGTGTGAAGCGACAACGGTGGTGCCTCCCTCTGAGAGTTGATGACAGTCAAGAGATGGGGGTGCCAGGCTCTGTACCTGTCGTCTTGTTAGCACTCAACTCGTTTACCTCAACGGAGAAATGCATCCCCTCTTCCTGAAAGCTTCCCCTCAAGCAGCCCTTGACAGGGAGAGAAGGGGTGCCCGCCCAGCTCCACAGGCCTAAGCCCCTGCTCGCCCGCCAAGAGGAGTTACCATGACAACCGGGGACTCGCCTCCAGGCAGTCCAGTCAGCTTCCGGTAGAAGAGCTCGGCCACATCACGACCACCGCTGTCCCCGCGGACTGGCCGGGTGGAAGGACAGTTAAGGAGCGGGCGACACAGACTGTCTGGGCGCGATGCCTACCCAGCTACTCCGCCCCGCCTCGCGGGTCAAG